GTTAGAACTGTTCAAATAATTTGATTGGCTAACGAAGCGACAGCTGTCAATCACAAACTGGACTTCAGCTAAGCTTTCAGTTTCGAGTAGTTTCGAGTAGTTTCGAGCGGCTTTCGAGAGAAGAGCGATGCCTTCAAAGTTCGCTTTTTAGTTAATTTTCAAATAAGAATCTAAAGGCAGGCAAAGGTTTGTAGTCCATAGGAATCCGGCCGTATTGTGGCTCATGAAAACGTACACTTTTCCAATGAAAATTACGAAACCAGGAGCTCAAAGCTTTAGGATGAAAATGCGAAATGCTGAGTTGAATTTGAAAGGAGCTACAGTTATTTAGGCTTACAGCTTGCAGCCGCTTGCTGCAAGATTGCCCGAACTAGCGTAAACGTTAGACAGACTTAACTGCCCACTGGTTCTACTCCCACCACAGAGGAGAATATCTAGAGCAAGCTTTGAGCTGACCACTCGTCGGTTCACTTCGCTGAGAAGACCAGAGAACGAGCGTTACTACACTGCAGGTAAGTGTTATTTTGAACAATTGAGCATTTTTACAAAAATAAAGCTTCTCATCATAAACAGAGACAGCTCAACTGTTGCTTTCTGTTATTGCTTTACTTCTTAAGTGTAATTTCCACCTTCGTAACAAATATAATGTCTTTTATCGAAGCACTGGTTGGGTTGAGAATTTGCTTATTTCCGGACGTGTTTTGTCGGCGGGAATCTAGCAAAACTTGTCATTTTAGTACAGTTTTCACACTACTGTTGCTAACAATGGTCTCCGTGAGCCATATTTACTGTANNNNAGCCAATCAGAGCGCGTGTTATATGGAAAATTTATTATAATTACTATTAGACGAATAGAGCGGTTTTTACAGCAGTGAAAACAGAGCAGTGTCGTAAAACCAAAGTCAAACCAATTACTTACTAATTAGGCTACTCAGCCAATCTCAAACCGTGGTAAAACTAAAACCAAAGCAATTGTCTTATTACTTTCGACACTCAATTGAAAAGCGCACTGCGATCACATATATAGATGTATTATTTATTCATATTGTTATTTATATTTTATTGATTTCTTATCTTATATGTATTAAGTTTTAGGCCTATTAACTGTTGTAATTATTATGCTTTTACAATGTATCATCTGCAGTTCGCAGAGGTCTGCATCAGCTTTGACTGCCTTATATAGTAGTTATAATGGCAATTATAACTGTATGTATCAATAGCCTGCCTTTCAAAATAAAGGATTGATTGATTGATTGATTGATCGATTGATCGATCGATCGATCGAGTTAACTATCACTGTGGGTTAAAAACGAAGTTAAAGTGACTGATGTAACTATTATAGTCGATATTTTCCTTCTTCTATTATAGAAAGATACCATAATATTCAATTTTTTCAACATGAATAAAAACCAAGTGAAACGTACTCCTCAAGAATACGTTAATAAATTTATTATTTGAAGTTGATCCCGCTAATCGTTCCAAGAATACAGCTAACGGTTTCAATATTCAAATAATCAATTTATTAATGTAATCTTGAAGGGTACGCTTCATTTGGGTTGACTGTAAATTCTTAGTACCCCCTAAAACTTGATACCACGCCAGTCATGAATGTTATTTTCAGAGTTAATCAAGAGTGAGAGACACTGAGTCACAGCTTTCACCACAAGTCGTCCCTTACCCAGAATTCTCCAGGCCTGTGAAACAATACAATTTTGACTCTATCTGTGACGTCGTTGGTGTCCACGTGACATTGACGTAATATTCCTGTGGCGCATACTGGGCCACGGACGATTTAATAAATCCAGGGGGACTGCTTGTAGTTACCTCCACGATACTGAAAAACAGGTGTGGTTAAACGTATCGCAATGTTGTCGTAAATACGCGAACATTTGGCGTATATTTGTCACTACAACTAATTCAATGCTCTTTCACAATTAAATCATTGGGTAATTACTATACAGGACAAAAATCATTTAATGAACGCCCGTTGGATATGAAATGATATTGTGTCCTGTTGGTTGATAAACATGTAGATTGGAAACCATTTTGACTTCAAACCTACAATTTCATTGGGCTACTTAAGTCTTCCGCCACACTAGAATAGGAACTTCTGGTTGGCTAACAACTTTGTAAATAATTTACGGCTGTAGGACCTAAAAAACAATTCTTTTTAATAATTCCAGCGCAACGAGGCATGCCAAGTTAACGAAAAACCATTTTATTTAAGTGAGAGAACAACGTTCTCGAACTTATTCAGGCTATTTACAACTAAGGCTTTCACCCAGGCACCAAAGGGACTGAGTAGGCGACAGGCATGGTAGGAATGTCACGATTTTCAAGGTGATAGCTTGAAGATCGGGCATTGTTGTGTGAGGTCCTAAAAAGCAAAAAGAAGCTAGAAAGAATTAGAGCGACAATGCATAACTGAGTTTAACAACACCTTTTTGATGGTCCACCAGCTCGCACGATGATCCGATCGAAGTATGTTCCTCCTGGGGGAATTCCAATGCATGATCCTTCGGCCCGAGTCTCTTCCGTGAACTCAGGGCGCTCGTCACACGCCTCATTTGACGTAAAAACGTACACCAAGAACTGCAACGGAATGCTGCTCAACGCCTGTGTGGCGGTTGGCGTAGCAAAGTCTTCAATCATAACAGCAGCAGCGTAAAAGCCCGTGTATTCTGTTGCGCTGTATGTGATTTTACACTCGCGCTGTAACAGTGAAAACAGTTGCAAGTGGTTAGCACTAATCTCATCTAATCTAATCTAATCTCTGGCAAGGTTTGCCGACGGGGCGGGGGGGGGGGAGCTCTCTCCTCCGCTGAGGTTTGAACATTTGTTATAGAAAAATAGAAGTTTTCTTAGGTAGAAAAACAACAAAAAAGGAATAAGAAAACAAAAATATAAAAGATATGTCACGACTGAAAAAGATTAAGACGGATTAAGGAAAATATACTTCAAAATATATATATATTTTATCATTAAATACTGTCTGATGAGTGCGTAAGCACGAAACTCGGAGTAACAGCAAATCTTGCCTCTTCGTTATTACTCATATA